AGTGCCTACATACTCAGATTTAAAAAAAGATATTGTCAATCTTATTATGATAAAATTTAACAAGACAGAACAATTTGAGTACTACGTAACCTACGTTAAATTGTACTAATAGGTACCCCAAGTTTTAAACCGATTTTAATTACAGAAAATCACTCGTTGTAAGTAACATTTAATTCCAACTTGTTAAATCACATACAGTCAAAAAAAGCTTTTAATTTGTAGATAAGTATCGTTAATTAAGAACTGGCGAGTGACAGTTACATTGCCCTCAAATTACGTGCACAGGTATCAGTAGAAAGAGACACAGATATAATTAAACAGTTGTCTAATTTAATTGGCAATAGGCGAGTTCCCACAAGTCAGAAAGTCACCCTCGGTTGTTACGTTCGCTCCGAATTTTCCCAACAATTAACATGCGATGTATACGTAGTAGTACCTAATTATAGGTGTAGTGTACCGCGGTAAACGGAGGCTCAATCATGCCACCGACACCGTACGCCATCTGTTTAATAAGGTTTGGCAATCTACCTATCCGTCTGATATTTGTGCTCTATTGACAGCCTGTTGGTTTGTCATCCTGACTGCTAAGCGGTCTTGGGTTCGATTCCCACCCACGACAAATAATTGTGTGAAGTAATTTGTTTATAATATGTATATATGCATTTAGAAATATATTAGTATGTTTATCAGCAGTCCGAATGCCACGTATTTCACCCTCCTATTCAAAAGTTATTAAAACTAATATGATTGTAAACTCTCGTTTTAGAATGGTTTTACATTCGTGAATAATTTATGAGTTATATCTGTTGTCTCCTTAAGAATTGTTCTTAGGGCATTTGCATTCAATAGACCGAATACTTATTTCGGTTTTCCATCTCAGTGGTATCTGAGTGCAACAATAGTAGGTTATATATATAAATATATAATAAATAATGGTTGCTAAATTTTCTTGACATTATCCTTTTAAACATTTCGAAAAACCAGTCAAAATTTTAAAATGTCTTTTTGAAAGACCTTGCTGAAAATAAAATTAGTACCTAAAATAATGATAATAAATTAGTACCTAATATATTTCAACTTAAAAAGTTAGGCAACGAAATATAAATGTTTTGTGGGTTAATAATGGTGACATAAAATTAAAATAAATATGTCAATAGATAAAACTAATAAACTAAGGAGTTTATAACAATTAGCTGAGTTCAGCTAAGTTAATAAAATTGTGTCGTTTCAATAGGACGAGTATGCATGAGCATACGTTTCGGGTCATTAATCATCACTAAATGTCGTGTGTGTAACCCATCTACCTCTTTTTATTTTTAACATGATTGCTAGTGGTCATTACTATCTCTATAATACTGGGTTCAACCGTGGGCTGTAGCCTATATATTATTAGATTTGGACATCATTCAAACTGCGCGCGACGAAACAGTGTGGTGTGTGTTGTTGATAGATATTTTTATGTATCCGGATACTTTATCATACTTACCAAAGTCACAAATGATAGCTACCTAAGCTATGTAATAAGCTCTCACATAAATTGCATGAATTGTACGGTTGTTTAGGATAAAATTCACATTAATTTCTCATTTGGCTGTAGTTTATAGTTACTCTAACTGTACGTTGACATGTAATTACAATTATTATTTCGCTGTTACCGTAATTATGTCCCTTCATAGTGGGTAATTGAAAAAGTTTGCCATCGATATAGTAGGCCAATAGTCCGAAATTATGTTTTTTTCTCTATTATTTCTTCAATTTTGATTCCTATCAGCTTTATTTAGCGGTTACTATTTGAACTTTTAATAATACCAACACGATCAGAGATTTCATGTCGAATGCTATGTAATGACTCAAAGAGTAATTTAAACTTTCAAAGTGTGTTAGTAACTTACATTGTATGTTGTTACTAAAATATTCACTAAAGTTGTTCGATAAAAACGTAAAACCTTATTAGAAATTATTTTTTATCAGCTGTAAATAAAGTTAGACTCTACACCTATATTAAAAAGTGAAGTACCTTCAACTACTCGTCATTAAACAAAAGGGCGACAGTTAACAAAACTGGCAGAAGCACTCGAACACTCGAGGAGCCATTTAACTTTTTGTAAAGTGCAACACTTTCCCACCCCGCGCACAGTACAACTCGGCAATTCAAAATGCTACTGCGTTTAGACAAATGAACAGCGTTGCACCCTTCGTGGCACACGACTCAAAACACAGACTCTAATCGCATGGATATGCCACGCGTCCTGGGTCTTTTTTTTATTATTTTTTTTGTGTTGACGGAGTGGAAATTCCCTTCGGATCTCCGGCTCCTTGGGGATATAGGAGCCAGGAGTATGAGGTGTTTCCACTAAAAACCACTCCGACGGCCAGTCTTAGGCGCATTGCTCTGGGGAGAACCTGGGCCATGTGATTTCTGGTCCCCCCAGATCGACGTTGCACCTAACTAGGGCCCATCTCAGGGAAAGCCAGTGGCTTCTCCCTGCCCATCAACCTTGCGGCCTGGGCACACACTTTCAGTGCGATCAGGCTGCCATCCTATACTGCAGTAATTAATCTGCCACCACAGGTTCCTATTCTTTGGCGGCCCGCGGTCCTGTCGGCTCCTCATTCCGCCGCCGATGTCTTCTTCGCTCGGGATCGGCCCGCTCCCGATCCCGTTCAGCGGTCTCTTTCTGGAGCATTACAGCTTCACAGAAAGAGACCACTGCGACGCGTCCTGGGTCTACACCCAGTGGTCTCTATATACTACAGAATATAGAGAATTCCACATATTGTGAAATTTTATAAAATACATACACAGGATAAATTTTGGGTACCTTATTTAACACATAGGTCTATGAGGTATATTTTCCGTTTCTGGTTCCAGTGCTTCTGCCATGATTAGAAGGAGACCTCTAGGGCGCTGGTCTAGTCTAGTTTTTCAGACTCCAGAAGCCAGGTGTGCTTTTTATTAAATTCATTTATTAATCGACTCAAAAGAGGGGGTTTTCAATTTAATTGTTTGTTTTTGTGTTTGTTACGCTATATCTTCGTCAATTGTTAACTGATTTTCAAAATTATTTTTGTAATTGAAAGATTATAATCCCGAGGTGGTGCCATTATCATCAAATCAGGATCCGATGATGGGATCCCAAAGAAATCGAGAGAAACCCTCAAATTAAACAGCCCCGACAACGTGTTTTAGCTTTTTTCTCTAAGTTGTTTTTGTATTTGTATTTATAAGTATTTGCGTTTGTTAGTCGTTATCTCATGTTGCTAAGCTGATGATAGAAGGGTCCTTGAGCTTTAGGAGTTAAAGAATAACTCTTTCAATAATATAATCATAACCTAGTTTTATTCTTTCAAGATATTTGTTAGGTCTTTGTGTTGAGTTACCAAGATATGTAAAAGTAATAAATAAGATTACAAAACATTTAGACAAAAAAAATGATTGTCACGCAATTATTTTCATGTTTGTTACCTTAAAACTCTTTTATTTGTAAACCGATTTGGAAAATTATTATTTTTTATTTGAAAGGGTATATTTCCCTTTTGGTTTCATTCAAATGCGTTTATCAAATTATGATATACGCAGAGACAAAAGTATTATAAGTTTCACTTCCAGTTATCACTTCTAGTTATTACAATTTAGTAGTAGTTACATTTCCCGCCACAAAATGGCGGAACTCGTACGACACAATAAATCAATTGGAGTGGGTGGTTGACTTTTCACTCAAATGTGTGGTTAATTGTAACCGAAAATGACTGTTGATCGAGCCACACTTAATTTGAGTGGTGCTTTAGTATGCAGGGGTTGCGCAGTGACGTGGGGTGGAAGTAATGGCTCGGTTGGGTTTGTGATTATTTTGATACTAATTTTGTAAACCTGCCGGAAATGGTAAAGCAATTATAATTATTACTATTTGTATTGTAGAGTGCATTATGCGATGTTACTTATGCTAAAATCTTGATGAAGGTAGTGTCACATATTTTTTTTGAGGAATAGTCACCTGAAGGAAAGCGACTACCGCAGCCCATGAACGCCTGCAACTCAGGAGTCACAAGCGAGTTGCCAGCCTTTGAGAAGGGAGTACGCTCTTATCTTGAAAGTTTGAAATTCGTATCGGTCCGGCAATACCGCAGCCGATAACTTGTTCCAAAGATTGGTAGTGCGAGGCAAAAAGTGGCTTGAAAAGCGCACAGTGGTGAAGCGCCAATTATCCAAGTAGTGAGATGAAAATTTTGCCGTGTGGGACGATGGCGGAAGGTTGCGGCTGGTATTAGTCAGAACAATATTTCGGAGCACGCTCCATGATATATACGGTAGAGAATGCAGAGCGAAGCTACATCTCTACGAAACGCGACGGTCGAGACGGTCGCAAATCTTTTGGCTATCGACGATTCGAGTGGCTCTTCTTTGGATTCGATCTAGAGGGTGAAGCTGGTACTGTGGTGCCCCTGCATAGAGATGAGAGCAGTATTCCATATGCGGTCGGACTTGCCTCGATCTGTTCAGCACACCAAGCTTCTTCGAGGTCAATTTGACCGTAAGGTCAAATTAGCCACGGTGCCTGGAGCGAAGTCCAGATTCGCAAAACTGGACTTCGCTCCATATCTCGATGCCTACGAGGTGCTCTCGAACCAAGGCGATACGACAAACGGTATATTTTGTGCGGTGAACGCGCATACCGGTGTCTTTTTTGGGTTAAAGTGGACCAGATTCAGTCGACCCCAAGCTGAAAACTCCGCTAAGGAAGCTTCGCTTCAGACACAAGTTCGTTTCGGCTCTCGATGACTTATGACCATATTGTTGTTCATTATAGGTAAGTGTATGGTTTATATATAAATATTCTCTTTATTTACTTGTAAATAAAATGTTATACTAATTCTATTAATATCAATTACGAATAATAATATTTGTTGAATATCATTTGGAATAAATTTCATGACAACTTTAAAGTAAAAATAATAAACGTTTAATTACTAGACTTGTGCGTTTATGGAGGACTGAAACGCTATTCTTCAGGCCAGTAAACTTCGATCATCTTCTTCAACCTTTCGTCAATGTCTTTGCCTTCTGGTGGCTGCTTACCCAAGATGAAAACAAACTTCTCGTGACAATCCATCATACCCAGGTATTGGCCCTCAATAATCTTGAGGCGCATCGGGTAGCGGTGAAAATCAGATAGATCCATTTTAGCTGCGGAATGTATTGTATAATAATTAATTTCTTACTTTAATAGTATATCAATCAGGTGCAGCGGAATAGCATTTAACCAGCCATCGCAGTACCTGAAGTCTACTTGGTATTAAATGTTTTACGATGCAAAATAAAAAATACGAAACTGTAACATAATTGATCTAAATAAGGTAGTTACTAAACATTAAGAAAACTGTCATTCCTTATACCTGTGGTAGGAGGCATCTGAAGAGTTCTGTAGGAGCCATCTCCCTCCAGTCTTTCAAGGTAGTAATCTCGGCTTTTGTTCTCATTGAGTTTAGCGCAAGGGATCTGCATTTTCAAAACCAAGTTCTCCCATTTTAAATTTTCCACAAATTTCTCAATTAGATCCTTTAAGTCTTTGCGTTCCTGGAATATGTTAAATATAACATTTTGCCCAATTAATGGTATGACTTTTACTTTCATCAGGATTCCGCGCGAATTGACAAGATAATGAGTCTAATATTAAGAAAAAAAATACTAAAGATACCTGATCATTGACGGGATTAAACTGTACACAATGTGAGTCCCCTGATCCATTAGTCCTTTCAGTTCGGTAGTGCAGCAAGTGCCAAGTACCTACAGCCTGCGTGTCGTTAAATGTAAGACCTTGGGTGAACTCCTGACATGTGCGGTGGGTTTTTTCGACTTTCTCATTTGCCTTAGGTGCGGCGAGCGCAACAGTTGTTAATGTTATCACTGGGAAAGAAAATATTGTTATATTTACATCTATGCTGCATTGTATGTTGTTAAGTCTTTTGGAAAGCATCGAAGACGTTAGCTGTGATTATTAACTAATTTCACCGGTATTAATGCTAAAAAGGTAGTTTTATGTCGACAGAATTAATGTAATTTCAGCAGAATTAGGAATATTAATAACAAATTACATTTTCAATACTAGTTTTTCACGTTTTAGAGTATTAATACGTATTAATATAGGTATTAACATAAGCTTTATTAGTTAATATTGTAATGTAAAACAAATAAACTCAAAAAACTATAATGGACATGTTAAGGTGTTTTTAAAAAATAAAGTTAAGATGGTAGGACATCATTGCTCATAAGATTTGTGACGCCTGCTGTAAATACATTACGTAGCGGAAGCACAATGACAAAGCAGTGCTTTTTGTGAATAAAAACACTACAGAGTACAGGGCATTTATTTTACTCGTAGGTACTTTTTGTGGCTACTCGAATTAAGTGCGGTACCCACATTATATCTAAAAGTTTGAGAAAAGACTCAATTTCAATTCTTAAAATAACAAAGAAGTGGTTGCACAACTCTGTTTGATTTATTTAATGTTGATATAAATAATAACATATTAAAAAAAAAATGTTTTTGAAGTAAAAACTTCTTTCGGCGCGTTTGGTATTTTTCAACAATAAACAAAATAATGTATTTTTTGAGATGAGAAAAAACCATTGAACTCGCGACAGTAAGTAATCTACATAATTATTGGCCCCGTTTACACGAGAGTTGAGTTTGGGTTGAAATACATTGATAATATTACTATATATAATATAAACATATATTGTGTATATACGTACAACATTCATGTCGGAACTTTTCAAATAAAAATAGACAAAAGATAGCCCGTAGACAAAACATACCGTGGTCTTCATACAATGATCGAATATTAGAAACATATTTATTTGTACTGGATACTACTCACATTCTATTAGGTCTTCATTAGATGGGTAATAATAAGAAATAACCAACAACAATGAAACAGTTAAAAACTAACAAAATTATAACAATAAAAAGGTGATATTTAAAAAAATACCTGCAACGATTAGAGTGGTGAGCAGTGACATATTTGAAGCTGGGCGTTTGCGCGAGCAAGAACAGTAATGAACTGAATGACTTGATTGCGACCTAACGATGTCCAGATTAACTAAAGTCACGCAGCTCCGAATAAAGGACACGGCGAATTTTACTCTTCTACTTATTCAAAAGCATTTTTGTTGAAAAAATCATAACATTCTTCACCTTATTCACATACGTAATCTTGCATTAGGTATGACTTTTATAGTACGAATATTGGCAATAGTTGGCAGTCTCAACAACTTTATAGAAAAGCTACATGCTATAGAGGAAATTATCATCATTTTCATCAACAGCCTTTAATAGTTCACTGCTGGACATAAGCCTCTCTTTAGAAAGGAAGTTTTGGCCTACTATACCACGCTGGCCAGACGGGTTGGTATAGGGTTTGTTTCAATTTTTCCTTCTATTTGCAGTGCTGTTGCGTACGTAGTTTGCTGCCTTAGTTGACTCTTACGACACCCATGTAATGAATAGAGGTGGTAACACTCTGTATTCTTAATCCGTCACTACACGTAAAGTTCTTGGCAAGAAGGAAAGTATGGAAACTCCATAATGCATAATAGATGTTCGTTGTGTAATTTTATTAGAAGAGATTGCATATTTAATCAAAATTTTCACTAAACTATTCAGATATCCTTATGTACTTCGATGCCTTATAGCTAATGCGGTATTTCAAAACAAAATTGAATACGGAGAATCAAACCAAACTAATTAGGTAGGGCCTTCTCCGTTGTCTGGCGTATTGCATCCATGTTTTGAGATGACTACATTGTAAACAGGATAAACACTCACTTCCCGCCACCGTCCTTAGTGGATAGTCCAGACAATGCGATAATGCGAACATACTAATCAATTCTGTGTAGTTCTGACTACTGACATAACAGCTGACAGATAAGGGGAATGAGTTAAAAAAAATATCAAATAGGGAAAAACCTGACATTGTAAGTAAAGGGTGTCTCAGTAAGAGTGCACTTTTTCACTTTGAAATAAAACACGTATTTTTTTAAAGAAATGTGATATTTTTATTGGATTATAAAGAAGACATGTTCCGATTAAATATGAAATAAAATATCCGGCAAATGGTCCCCACGGCTCTGATGGCAGGCCATTACTCTTTTCATGAAATTTTCCATGACTTTTACACAGAGATGTGGCTGTATCTCACCGATGACGCGTTGGATCTCTGATTTGAGCTCAGGAATTGTTTCTGGTTTATTCGCAATAACCCGAGATTTAACAAAACCCAAAGAAAAAAATCACGCACGATCTTGGTGGCCAGTTGACCAGTTTCGTGAGATAATGTGTTCTGGAAATCGTTGCTGCAATGAGGCGATTGTTTCATGCGCAGTGTGGCAGGTGGCGCCGTACTGCTGAAACCACATTTTGTCCAGACCTATGCCGTCCAGTTGAGGCCACAAGAACTCCTTTATCATATTCCTGTAACGAATGTCGTTCACAGTCACTGTAATTTCGGCCTCACCTTTTCACCTGACCAAAATCCGCACCAGACAGTTGCTCGTTGTGGGTGCATTTGTTTCTCATGGACTGCATGAGGATTTTCTAATTCCCAAATTCGAGAATAATGTGTATTCACGTAGCTATTCAGATGGTAAGGCGCTTGATCGGAGAAGATGACTGTTTTCAAAAAATTAGCATGGACTTTACTTTGCTCCTATACCCATTGAACGAATTGACGGCGCTTTCCATGGTCTGCTGATTTTAACTCCTGAGTTAGCTAAATCGTGTACGCATGAAGGTGGAGGTCTTTTGTCAAAATTCGCTGCGTAGTGCTACGTGAAATTTGAAGTTGTTGAGAATGATGCCGAATTGATGTTTTCGGGTTTTCGGCGACTCTCACGTTTACAGTGCAGCAATGTTTTCAAGAGACCGACCGATACGTTGACGCAAATGATTCTTAATATACATAATCGACCCAGTATCTTCAAATTTTTTGACCACTTTTCGAATGGTTGACACATTACGTCCTACACTTTCTCGACTGAAAATTTGGCGAAGTTTGCGAGCGGTTTCAGCGTAACTTTCCCCATTTTCGTAATGAGTTTTAACAATTATAACGCGTTGTTCCTTCGAAAAGCACTCCATTTTTAATAATCGGTGACAGCTGTGAAATCTCAGAGTTGCTACTTGCAAGAAAAAATAAGATTATAAATTTGAACTTTAAAAAGTGAGACACCTTTACTTAGTGTGAGATTATCGTCTTTAATTACAAAGATGTTAATATACGATACTTAATACCTTAACGGTATGTGAAAATTAGGCATAATTTGTAAAGATACGTTCTTTAATTTTAGTTAAAACATAGGTACCGTCAGATGTACACTGATTCTTCCTCTCAAATTTTCGTCAGGACTGAAATTTAGTATTAACAAATAGGTAAAAATAAATTCGTAAACAATTATAAATATTCGTAATAAAACCTACTGCTGTGGGGCCACAGGCTTTTTGGAACGTCTGGTTAATAACAAAGACTTGCTCATGTCTTTTGTTCCTACGTTTAACTATTGGCGATGTGAAAATTATGAGTATCGCAATCACACACTTCAATTTTATGTTATTGCTGTTTAATTTAAAGTCCATTTTTGTTTACGATTACGAAGGTGGAGGGATCACATGGGGTTGCGGTTAGTTGCGCACGCGTCGTGTTGAACATTTGATTAACCTTCTTTGTTAGTTGGTCGATGTGTTACAGCTGTCGAGTCTTTTGATTCCAATACAATATTTAGTTTACTGGAATTTGTATAGGGATGAGTATCTAGGCTTATACTTACAACGGTACACAACATAGTAACCTTGCCTCTTGTCTATCGGTCTTCGCGAACTTTCGAGAGCGTTATACAGGTAGCAGATAAGAGCTATGGAAATTTACACACAATCGGTTTTTCCGTTACTCACAGTCGGACTCATTCGTGAGTGCTGACTGTTTAGACCTGTAAAACTTCAAGATAAACTAAAGAATATTCCTTATTGATTGTTTCTTTAAGTAAATGATAATATATTTATAATGACATGACTCGTTTACTAAATTAAATAGCTGGAATGATTGCATTTTATTTTCTTCTATTAATAACCTACCTTATTTGGAGAATCTACTGCAAATTTAAATTAAAATGTCCCAACACTCCTTAAAATTATTACTATTGTAGTTAGCAACAATTCTATTTTAGATAATAATAATAAAATTATTAATTTACAGCTCTTTAAATTCACTCTTTATTTGTAACTAGCTAGTAAAAAAAAAATTTAGCGCAATCGGTGCAGAACTTTTTGAGTTTTCAAAGCGTACACATACCAACTTTTTTTATAGATGTACATATTTAACTTAAATATCAATTGATGACATTTCTTAAAGCGATTTTACACACGCTTGGATACAAACATGGATTCGGGAAATAAACCCGCCAAAGACCCATTATATTGCTGTATTGCCAATTTATATTGGACAATTAATCATTCGTCAGACGTTGAGTGCTCATTAAAGCCATTATTAGGTGCTGCACTTATTTACCTACATATGTATGTATGTATGCGTGTCTAATGCATAAAACGTAGATAATAACTGTGTCATCAATCAACAAAACTATTGACACATATTGCCTCGTACTTTCTTTTTTAATTTTATTTTGCCACTAATAACTTCCTAGAATATAAAGATAATTTCATTACTGCTTCTTTTGAAACATACTGTTTGATATCTATATAAACTTAGTTTTTAAAATTAAAATTAGACTTTAAAATATGCGTTGCATCTGCGTAGAGATTTCTATAAACGAATATTAAAAAAGAAAATAATATTATAAGTGAAAATAAGTCTCTGCGAAGAAATTATAAAATTAAAGACTACAACAGTGCAGTATCTATACGTTGTTACAGTTTCTGTTTGACCATATTTTGAAATTTGTTATTACTCAGAGTTTGTATAGGATTTGAGATTTTGTTGTAGATACTATACTTTGGGCTCTAAATCACAACTAATCTTATGTAATCACTGACAGCAAAAGTGTATCCTTGTATTTATTATTATATAATACTATGAACGTCACCGCCATACAGAGGTAATGGGATAGAATTAAAGTATGTAGTACATGAGACTGGAATTTCTGTATCCAAATTTGCCTGACATAACACTGTATCCAGGATACAATGTTACATCAGACCCATTCAAAATCCAATAAGACCGCCCATGTATTTTTTTATGCTTCTAAATCTCCTTGTGATTAGTAATATTGAGTACCACAGGTCTCTCTAAATATGTCGAACGATTAGGTTATGACTTGAATGACCCAAATATTATAGGCCTCTTATCAGCACATAAAAATACTTTTTGACACTTTTTCTGGGAGCCAAAGAAGCATTAAGGTAACAATGATAGTCAATTTATTTACAGCAAAAGCCAGTGGCATATATAAACAGTGTGTGAACGCTAAGGATGGGTATGTTGATGGTTTCTATATTCTTTGAGAGCGTTTTATGCACCTGCCATCCACCTGGTTTCAATTCTAGTTTGTGAAAGACAATAGACGGCGTGAGTAACAAAAGTTGGTTAAGTTTGTCTTGGTAATAGCATGAAGACTAATATGTAAGGTGTTACCTACATTAAATAAATTAAAAAAAAAACAATTATTTGCAAACACAATCTTGAGGTTTACAATAGGTATTGGTGTTATTGTTATACGTGGAAGATTCAGTTAGGTAGGTTCAGCACAGGACGTTGTTCGCTAGTTTATGTGGGTATGTTATCTCGCGAGATTAGATCGCGGCGCGTCGCCTCACACTAACGCCCACCTGAGCGTCCTGAGCCCACCGGAGTCCAGGCCACGATCTGCATTCAATAGTAGGCGATCAATGTAGTCGTATATAAGTTTTAACTAAAGCCTTAAATTGTTATATGTGTAATAAAAGCTTACAGCAACATTTTAATACTAAGTTTTTTTTGCAAGATTCATCACTAAATTCTAGTATAACGCCTTCTTGCTCCTTCAGCAAGTGTTTTTATACTATTAAAACAAAATAAATTAGAAAATCTAAAACCTATAAGTATGTAAAAGATGGTCATCCAATCTATACTAATATTATAAAGTCGAAGTGTTTGTTTGTTTGGTACTTCTGGTTCGATTTGAAAAATCTTTTAGTGTTGGACAGCCCATTTATTGAAGAAGGCTATCATCTTACGGCCCACCATGCTACGGCCAATAGGAGCCGAGCATCAATGAAAAATGTTGCAATAACGGGGAAAATTTGTTCCATTTGAATGAGGCAGACGAAGTCGCTTAATTTAGTCGCTTATTAAGCATTTTTCTAGATTTGAGGGTTGAAAGCTGGTTTAACTGTCTTTACGTATCCATTGCAGTGTCCATTGCATCCTTATCATTTAGTCATGTCATTAAAATTAAACTACATTTAAATGTTAATTAGTCACTTTTCAAGATTACGTAATTCGACCTAAAGCAATGGTATTGATTTTGCCTAAAAAAATGAGTCCATACCACAATTTAGTTAAAATCAGTTAATTTAATAACTTTTATGTTTAGTCTTATTGCAAATTGCAAGAAAGTATTAAGTTAAAAGAAAAGGTTAAATTATTTTTGTACCATCTGTATTTTATGCCTACATATTTGTGGAGACCCCTCCACAAATATGTAGGCAATGGTTACTGATAAACTTAAAGGGGTTAACAAGCTTTCAAACGATGCAAAGGGTTTAACTTATGGGGCGAGTAAATTTATAAATACATATGTATCAGACTTGTATTTATAAATTGGATGTAAATGTATTGTACATAGGCATTAACTCCACTTAAAAATGACTTTTTTATGACGTTTACGGCTGTAAATAGCATTCGATATCCAAATTTGTCGAAGACATGAAAGTACGAGTATTTTCGGTACTTTAGGAATTATAATTAGGAATATAATTCATTTTGGAGATCGTACCCCAGTGCGATTTCGTAGCTAATTTAAATTTAATTGAAACGACCCTACGGGGTTTAATGCTAGTGCATAAGCTGTATATCCACCCAGGATCCTTACAGGTGTTTGTTAGTGAAATTTTAAATGACCTGCAAAGGTTTTATAATAAAAATATATCTTAGATCTGAAGGCTGAGAGCAAGTTCATTTCACATCGTCGCGCTCTCGACGAATTTGTATACCTTAGTGACAGGATTATTGAGAGTACAAAAAACGTTACACAAGTTTTTTTTTTCAAAATTTTAATAAAAGCTTTACAAAAACTTTAAAACTTTAACAAAAACTTCAGCGGTGAAATGTATCGTCTGTCTTGCATGGCCATCAGACCTCCACAACCCAAGTACCTACTAGGCGATGTGGAAGTTCTGTAGAAAGACTGTTGTCGTACTTTTTAGGGCTCCAACTACCCGTAACCTTTGCCACAGATGTTCCAACCGGGTCCGACGGCTTAACGTGCTCTCCGAGGCACGGAGGGGTCTCAATGTGTTAAAAATGATCACTTGTCCATAGACTGACCTGGCTAAGATTGCTTAACTTTGCAATATGTTACCCTACTCAGTTACTTCTTAGCTACGAGCCCCTCCGGAGCCTAATCCCATCATTCCCCCTAATTCTGTAGAGGGAGCAAGGGCGGTGGTAGTTACTCAAACTCAGGTGTCTGCCCGTTCGTTCCCTATACCATAAGGAAAATAAATCACTACCGCGGCGTGCCACCTTCGATACATTCATACTTATATTTGGCAACTATAAGTACACCGACAAACATTAAACATTTTCGCGACTGTTACAGAACTTATACAGAATAATAAGTTTTACGCAAACTGTTTCAGTTGATTTAACAACTACGTTAAACATGCAACACTAAAGGTTTAGAATTTCATATTATGTAGGAAGAGGGTTAAGTATTTAAGTTTAAAATATTAAATTAAGAACGATTGCTTTATTAACTTAGCGTGGTTTATAATAATCAAAAATTAAATTATCGTTAACTGCAGAATAATTGTTGGTATATCAGTTCCAGGCAGGTGATAACGGAGTAGGCAAAGGCACCTGCATTAGCGAAATCATTTTTCTTCGAGTTCCATTAAAGTTGGCATTAATTGACGTTGCCTAAAACGCGCGCGCTTTTGTTCTCCGCTGGTCCGTAGACATCCCGGCGTGGTTTTAATTACTGCCGGCCAAATGCGTTAATGTAATCAAAGCTCGATACATCATACTCGCGCTATCGCCCCGCCTCGGTTTGATTAATAATTGTAATGAGCGGCGATGCCAAACGAGTTAATTAAGCGTTTTTTACCGGTCGGTGCCACCGCGACCGGTAAACGGGCGCATCAATCACCGCTTTGTACCCGCCGCCGAACTTCTTAATGATTGAAATGACGGCCGACGCTAAGAGCTGCCCTTTGACCGGTGGGTTGCTGGGCCACACTAGAACATTTTGATCAAATCGTACAATATAGTGTACAACAAATCCTTTAAATTTCCCTTCTTATACTTAAACACACAAAAGCCAAATTCTTGGCGGTTACGAAAAGGACCATATTATGTTCACATTGAACAACTGATGGTATTAGGAATGTGAGTATACAGATAGTAACAGATTATAATCATTAACACCTACCTTTACTAATATTATAACAATGTGAGTGGTTTATTTGTTTATGTTTTTACGCCGTAATTTTTCTGCTCATCTTCATTCGACGTTTTGGATATAAGTTGTCAGGAGTCTCCAAAGAAAGAAGAAGAAAGAAAGAAGGTCTAGTCAAGTTAACAAAGGATTTTCGAATAATTTTACAAAATCTATATCCACCAATATCATTTTCATGTAAAATGTTGCCAAGACGAGACCATGGCAAAGTTATCAGATTTCATGTAGAGCCAAACTTAACTTTACACGCCTTAACTCTATTTTGACTAAGGTGTAGAGCTTGTGAAGTTAGGGCTTGGCTCGTCTTGGCGGATTAATGCGAGCGATGGTACTTAGATTTTGTTTTAATGGTTTTTATACTGTTTAAAGAAATCCGTGGTTTAAAAAATTAGTAGAATCACGCACATACCTATCCACTAATGCATTGAAACCAGAATTGACGTAACGTTCATTATCAAAAATTGACAGCACTAGACACTGCATTCATTGTAGGAATAATAGTCGTCTGTTAAGATGTGATCGTTGTTGACTGTACAAGAAAAATAAATCTTTTTTTTATCCTGATTTTTATATTTAAACCGGTAGCATTACAACCTTGTGAATCATTTGGAAATTGTAGCAGTGAGCTATAGCTGTCTATCAAAAACACATACATACATAGGTGTACACTCATCACATTTCAAATATATTTTACTAACCATATAAAATTAATATAATGGTCTCTCAATCGCGACCAATCGCATCATAGCTTTTCAATCTGTTAGTATTTATTGTAAGTACTTAATTTATACTGAGAAAATGTATTTTATGCATTTTGTTTTTTTTTAACACGCTTTTATTAGCTTGGTATGTATTATGTTATTTATGTAACGGAATGTTCGAACGTGATTTTGACCCACTTCAAAAACGTCGAATTAAATTGCAACTTTGCACACTAATCAAGGACCGATGACAATGCAATAATTTAAATAGTTTGTCCCATTATCCTGATCAGAATCTTCAAGATTAACGGCTTTTTTAAAAACCTATAAAACGTAGTGCGTCATTAGCCACGTAATAAAAAATAAATGATAGTTTAAATAAACTAAAAAAACACGCTTTTGAGTTCAAAAAATCATTTTATCGTAAGAAAAGCTTAATAGTAAAAAAGCGGGTATTTTTAGGTATTTTTTAAAATTATTTATTTATAACATATCCGTTTTCCGATGTGAAATTAGTTGAAAATATACAGATTTACGTTAAAGTTTAAAATATAGGGGTGCCTGATTTCGGGCACGCGGTTATTGCGGCGGTAACACCCGTTATTGAGGATTGGCTCGAGAGGCGTTACGGAACCCTCTCATTCCGACTGACGCAGGTGATCACCGGGAAAGGTTCTTTCGGAGATCACCTGTGTCTGATCCGCAAGGAGCCAACGCCAGAGTGCCACCACTACGATGGCCGGACCGTGGACACGGCCCTCCACACGTAGGCAGAATGCCCTGCGTGGGTGGAGCAGAGGCGTGACTTCGTGGTGGCTATCTGGGTGGGAGTCATCTCGCTCGGTAGTATGACGCAGACGCAGACGACTCGTCCGCCGGAGGTCGCAGAACGACCTCCGTCTTCCATAAGCGCAGGCCTGAGGGTGACAAAAAAAAGGGGTGCCTGATTTAGGAATGGAAAAACATTGGCAGGTCTTCCTTTACATTTCTATTCGAATGTAGTCGGTTGGTAGTAGATGGGTGATAGATGATTTTATGTTTTGTATTTTGTATCAGTTATCCACCAGGGTATCACTTACCAAGGTCTAGCTTAAAGAACTACTGCTGCTGATGTAAGTACAGTTCTTTGTTTGTTGCCATTTCGCCAGTCCAGGCTTCATCTAGTACTCCGTGATCACGTGTTGAGCTTTCGTTAGTCCTACTAAATCAATAATGAGATGTAATAAGGCCATTCTAAAATCATTATCCTGATAACGACAAAGTTACTACTGATAGGGCAACTACTAAAATCTCGAGAATGCCTTTTATTTCTCACTAGCTGACCCGTGCCCACTTCGTAGGGCATAATGTTAATAATCCTTTTTTAGTACAGAGTGTTATGTTTTCTAACTGTTTTCTAACTGCCAAAAGGAGGGTTATACGTAGGTATAGTTTGTATTGGCATGCTAATACAAAATTCGAAAGTGACTCTAAGAAAAAACATTTTCTGCGGGATTTGCGATAAACGAATTCCAAGAGGACCAAGTCACGGGAAAAGTTAGTCTGGTTGTGGTAATTTTAACTGTTCAAAACTTCTCTGTAAACTATATTGGATGTAATGTTATCATTTGGTAGCAAAATATATTGTCTATCAGGAGTTCCAACCCGAGATAAGCCAACATATAACTGCCCATGGGAAAAACACGGCTTTCTCAGGTCAATGCCCACCAGAGAGAATGTTTGACCTTGGGACTTGTTAATAGTGAGGGCAAAAGAGATCTTCACTGGAAACTGTAGCCTTTTAAACGGTATGGGTAAATCAGTGGGAATCATGGGTATCCGCGGAATATAAGACAGTTGTCCCACTGCTGGCCCTGTGAGAATGGTCGCCACGATTATATTGTCCCGTAACTCTTTTGTAAGCAGCCTTGTCCCATTACACATGTTGGGGGGGCTCAAGTTTCTTAATAGCATGATAGGAATGCCAACTTTTAACACAAGGTCGTGAGGAGGTAAGCCAGAAGGGTTCAAAGAATTTAAAAATTCTTGGGGATAGTGCACTGTATCTTCAATATTACACACCGTATCAATAGACTTATAGTGTTTGACCTGACCGGGAATTTTCTCTAAAATGAGTTTATTTATTTCATTCACTGCATCGTTTCTGGGTGACACTATTGCCCTAGAACAAAGCCAATGATAATCTCTCTCCAAAAAATTTTCAAGACCGGGATATATTGCGTCAATAAGATGTTCCAACCTGTGCAATATGTGTCCTAATGTCTCGTCAATTTTAATGTAATTGCTATTGGTGTTAGGAGAGACAATTTTTACTTCGCCAAGATTAAGTAGTTGACGCGGAAAGTCGTTATCGTCGTTGTCGCTCAAATGGGCTCTCATGTGTGTTCGTAAATTGAGAGATGCAACCGAACTCCATAAGTGAGATGATTTTAAGCATGCTCTGATGACATCGGCGCGTGTTCCTTTTGTTACTACAGGCAGTGTTTGCCGAAAATCACCCGCGAAAACAAAAGTAACGCCACCCATTACAGCATCAGAGTTTCTGAGGTCTTTGAGCGTTCGGTTTACTGCTTCAATATGAGCTCTATGACTCATGGTACATTCGTCCCATATAATTAAAGATGTTTCTTGTAAAAGTTTCCCGAGTGGCCCATTTTTACGTATGGAACAAACTGACTGTTGCTCTAGTGAGACTGTCAGAGGTAGCTTAAAGGTGGAGTGTGCTGTTTTCCCATCATTTAACAGAGTAGCGGCAATCCCCGAAGAGGCAACGGCTAGTCCATTTCTCCCGGATTGTCTTACTTTTGCCAATACCAAATTTGCAAGAAATGTTTTGCCAGTGCCTCCCGGGGCGTCAAGAAAGAAAATTAAACCTCTGTTATTTAGCACACTGTCAATGATTGCATCAAAAGCTTGTCTCTGGTCTCTGACTAATTTCGGTATATTTTCATTAATAAAAACTGACAACTCATTGGTATCGTACGAACGTATCAGTATTATGTCCGATGCATTGTTATGTGGCCGAATTGGAGAAGGTAAACCAAAATCATTTAAGGTTTTCTCATTTAGTTCTAAAAGTCTATTTTCTATTTGTAATAGACCTTCATTGTACATGTCATCATTATAGGGTAAAGTGAAATCCTGATTCTGCTGTCGTATTCTATGTCTTATGTCGTCACATAAATCGTCTTTGAAGTGTTCCCACAAACTGAGTGGTTCAGATGGGTAACAAAATAACAATATCACCACAAATAACTCCCTCAACTTCAAGGGACATTGAGAAATTGAGGCTTCTCGTAGAGTGTTTTCCCACTGGTTATCGTCTTCTAACAAACCTCTCTCACGGCAAGCAGCTTGGTATGTTTCTTTAACAACTCCGTTCACAGTTCTTAAGTCCTGAAATGAGGTGGGGCCACGTACGTGGTGAAGCAAAACTCGAAGAAAGAAACACTCCGATTGAGAAGGGTGCACACTATATACTCTTCCCAAAGCAGGATCTTTTTTTATTCCAGGATGACCAGCAACATCTTCTCCGCGTTTTCTTCGGGAAAATTTGTTATTAGCCCAGGTATAATAGTGGGGAACTTCATGGTAAAGTAATGTTTTTGCGAAGTTGTCGGAATTGCACAATTCAAAGAAAGCAGTCAGAGTTGTTTTTGGTGGATTTTCAACAATGCTTTGCACATTAGCTGGTGATAAATATACTCTTTGGCCGTTTTCTAAATGTACGGCTAACTGCAGAACAGTAGGGTGTCTGTCATGGAGAGGAAATTCCAACAGTCTCCAGACCGCTTCCGATGTACTAATGTACCTTCCGTTTACATAATTCTCAACTTCATTATGAGCATTTCTTACACCAAATGTTGCCTGATCTGACCCTTTATTCACATACTTGCAGATATACTTTATAGCCTGAACGGAATGACAATACTCCACGTTTATGTGGGCGTTAAAAGTTCGACAGAGAATTGGAGAGTACGGGACGATCCATGTGTTGTCTATTTTAATAGTCCTCCCACGAATAGTCATAGTGGCCACCTGACCGCCGTGATCGACGTTTCGGCGTCGATAAACAGGGTACCCATCTTCTCCGGTTTGGGTATCAGTGACAAAACGGCGTGGGTATTTTTTTGAGCAAATACCATTTTTCATACACGGCGACCTTGGATTTTGTTCTCCACACGGCCCGTGTACCATGTTCTTTGTCACAATATCAAACAACGCCGGATCATTATCTTTATCGGGTAGTTCTGCAACTATGATCTTGTCAATTTCGTCAGGTGGTATTTTATTTTTTAGCCAAATCAACATGTGACAATGTGGTAAACCTCGTTTCTGCCACTCGACACTGACCATGTGACATTTGACTTTCCCGAAAACTTCTTCTTTTGTAAATAGTTTAATAAGTTTCTTCATTTTTAGATGAAAGACCCTTGCTATTATGTCGTGTCGGTCGAAAGATCGCTGTCCAGAAAAAAGTTCTTGCTTTATTTCTTCCCACTCGGGGTTGCAAGTGAAGGTAACAAATAAGTCAGGCCTTCCGTAATTTCGCACGTATGTCATAGCGTCTTGGGTTTTTTCGTGCATATAGCGCGGGGAGCCAGTGAAAGATGAGGGCAAGATAACGTGTTGACCAATATTTGCAGCATTTACATTAGCATCTCTATTTAAAGCATCTCTTAAATGTATATAATTGTCAGCTCTTAACTTTTGTTGGTTACACGGGATATAAAATTCAATCTTTCTGAGATCATTTTAGCCATCATGTCAACGCAGTATTGACTGAACAAATCTCGGTAATAATGTAAAGTATTGAAACGATTCTCTATGATCATAAGTCTGTGTGCATAGAACTGCATACAGGAAACTGTTTTGTTTTGTGCGGAACCTTGTTGCTGTATAGTCAGATAATAGCCATCATCTCCTTTCACAAACATTAAAGGATATTGCAGGGGATCGTAAGCGCGGTGCAATTCGGATACTCTTTTTAGCTGGCCATCTTTACAATGTAGTACTATATCACGGGGTCCTTTGTCTTCATCTACTAACAGTACTGCAACTTCGTTTGTTGTGGGGGAGTTGTATCTTCCTCGATGTTGATTTTGTGGTGTGCGATCGGCGTGAATTATTAATTTTAAATTGTCGGAGGAGTTGCTTTGTAAATTGTATTTGAAACTGCGTATGTATTCGTTCTGACTATTTAATACGGTCTGTAATTCATTGATCAAATCGGTTTTTAAAGTGGGGCTCATGTTTGATCGCAAAGAAAGTTGGTCCGCATCAGAAATGAAATATATCTGTAAAAATTTCGAAATTTGACCTGTTGAAGGAAGAAGACTACCAATTAAATGATAAACCTGGCCCTCTATCTTAAAAGTAGGCATAAAATTTCCTTCACGAATTTCTTTAGCACCGAACGATGTCATTTGAAATAGTGTGTTATATTTCCGTATATTGTTTAAAAAATGCGTAGAGTGTGGATGAGCATTTGTCAAGAGACTTTTTACAGGCTCTGGTGGCTCTTCAATGTTAGGAAGAATCACTTTACCTGCAGCACAACACATACCATTCGGTTCATCGCTCCATTTTTTTGCAAAACACTTAGGACAGGTTTTACTCATTGCTCCAATTGTTACTGCGCTCTGCTTAGCGTAATCGATGTTAGGATCATAATTGAAAGCTGATCTATTACTGTGTGGTGCACTTCGACTGCGTATTCTAGATGTTCGTTGTCTTTGTGCCGCAGCAGTGAGCCTTTGCGAACGTTCAGTGCTAGACTCCCTTGCACGAATTTCCGCCATATTTTGTCTATTGTTAGCAAGTCGCTGAGATCTTTCGGCGCTGGTCTCCCTAGCACGACTTTCGGAAGTAATTGCTCGTTGGCTGGCAAGCCGCTGAGAACGCTCGATACTGGATTCCCTATGACGTTTTTCTGAAATATTCTGTCTAAGATTAGCCAGTCGCTGAGATCTTTCAGCGCTGGTCTCCCTAGCACAAGTTTCAGAGGCAATTTCTCTTTGGCTGGCAAGCCGCTGGGAACGCTCTATGCTCGACTCCCTATCACGTGTTTCTAACATATACTGTCTATAGTAAGCCAGTCGCTGAGACCTGTCGGTGCTAGACTCTCTAGCACGCGCTCGTGATCTGTATTCTGTCTCATTCGCAAGGCGCTGTTCATGCTCAGAGGAAGTCTCTCCAAGTCTGCGTACTGTAGCCGCTCGTGTCTGGGATGTATGTCTAGACAGTTGAGATTTTCTTTTAGGCATATTGACAGTTATGTTTTCAAAAAAATATTTAAAAAAATGGAACAGTTGTTCTAGTTTTTTTTATTATGGAAAGAAAGCAAATAAGCAAGATGAAGATAACCTAAATGGAAAAACTAAATACCTATAACCTAAATTAAATGAAAACTATAAACAGAAAACAGTAATGAAAAGTTTTTTTTTTTTTAAATGTACAGAAAATAAAGACTTAATTTTTAATGAAAGAATAAGATAGGTAGATATAGTTCTGATAAGAACTTTTTATTTAAACAATGTCGAAAGTGTGCTAATTACGTTTCGAAAAATTCAATTTCGGGGACGTCCGCTGCGTAAGGAGCCGACCACGCGACTGAGCCGCGCGGGTACCTACCTCTCAGATGTAAAAGGCCACGCCCCCTTCTCCCGAAGCGAGCACGAACGCGAACCGAATTAAACCCGAAACCATCGCGCGCCGTCCGCTGCTTTGGCCTTCACATTTAAGACGATGAGTTTACTTATTTTCATAAAGATTCATAATTTTTGGTAATATAACTAATAAATATGATCTAACGATTTAAATTATTTTATTAATATTAATAATTAAATTATCTATACTAATATTAAAAAAACTACTTTTTGGAACTTAAATATAAAAGTTAGACATATGCTGTCGTTGACTTTTTTGTAGGCATTTTCAAGCTCCACATCTTTTCTCTAGAACTCAACAATATATCTTTCATAGTTAAAGCAGCGTTCGCAAGAAACGCTTTCATTCGACCGTTTTTTCTCCGATTCACTTTGCAAAACGGACTACCACGTAAAAGCTTTTTTATTTTTCGGTTTTTTATATAACCTATGACACTCAGCAATAATGTGGCTTTCTATTGGTGAAAGAATTATTAAAATCGGTTCAGTAGATCTCGAGATTACCCCCTACAATTTAACAAATATACAAACACACAAACTTTACTTCTTTATAATATTAGTATAGATTGTGTTTGTAATATGGGTAACAAAGGAAAACCTATCATTATCAATTTTCGATTAAAGAATTTTACTAGCAGAGGCATTGATAAACTTTAATTAAAATGTCAACTTAATAACAACAATAGTCGCCAAAACAGTGAAAGTGTGTTCTTTTGACCTCGACCACGTGAAGGTAGGGTCTAAAAAAGTTGGTATAAATTGTGATTTTTAATAAATAAGTCTTTTATTAAAACTGGCACATGAATCTAAAAAAATGATACCATGGGTATTTAATACTAAGGATTTTGATGGAATGCCATTTATCATTCACTTTAAAGAAATTTTCAAGACATACTAGACATGAAAATTCATATATTGATTAGCCTTCAGTACCTATAAAGTAATACTTAGTATTTATTTCAAAGCTAAAATCAAGTACCTACCTACCTACCATAACTCGTTGAAAAAACTTGATCTGCATTAATTACTATTTTGCTTGCACTTCTGCTATACCTATTACATGAAGCGCGGTGTGGTGTTGTATATATTTTAAGAAAAGATCATTTAATATATATTGGAAAGCAACTTACTTAACACTATGTATGCATGTACCTACTTGAAGTGTTTTTTAAGGTTTTCATATTATCTCTCATTCGCTTGAGACAGTAAAAGTAATTAGTAAGTTTAGTATAATATGCATCTACAAAACTTCATCTATATAATTATTTTATTAACTTAAACATAATCTATTTTTTTATAATAGTAAAATCCTATTGTTGACCAATTATAAAACAAGAAATCAAAGCTTCATAGTCCGGGGAAGATCTACGAAACAAATGACAAGCATTAATATGAATCAAAACAGTTTATTCTGTAAAACTAGTGGGACCAGTGCTCGTCAAACATTATCAATCATTTATGTGTCGGCCGCGGGCAGAGAATAGCTTTAATTTGATAAAACGCAATTAGCTACCAAAATGAAATCTAATATTAAGAGGCGGCTCCAACTTTTTTGGCGGCCATCATTTGGTGAGTCCCACATTGACGCCTAAAATAATTAATTAATTAAAAACATAAGCAATCAGAAATCATCAAAGTAAAAAAACCGTTAGATATCTAGATAGATTTGTAATCAATTATGGTTTTTTTCTAAGTCTATTCAGAACAACATTGATGGATCTTCTTCAGTTGTTGTAATAATAAGCAGTCTAAATGAATAAAATGATTTTCTAATGTTGTAAACGCATGTTTTCTACGATTGAATGGTCCTTCAATTTAGTGGCGAGTCATTCCAGTGGCAGTATCAAGTAGAACGCGCGCCGCGGGGTTTAATGTCTAATTCACCGCACTACCAACAGGTGGCGGCAGCGCGGCTTTTCAAATCTGACAGACGCCATTGCCTTTACGTCAGAAAGCCGCGAATAAAATTAATGATGTTCGCGCCTTAATGACGTTTCACGACGCCGCTCCATTGTGTCCGTAATACAACAATTATTGAGATCATTTATTAAGTTTATTGATCTTTTAACTTAATCTTTTATTTCGTAATTTAGCTTCGTGCGAGAGCGCGAACTCTGAAAAAAATATCTCATATGCGGAGGTATTTTTTGGACTATTTTTGTCATTATACGGCGTGATGTGAGCGGGGTCTTTGAATATAGAGGCAATTACTGCCCCGCATGTGGTTTGATTATGTACGTCGGTTCCATTCCATCTACCGATGAGGCTATAAAACGCCGGTAAAAACATAACTAAACCTTTGCCAGCCGTAGTTTTTGAGCTTCCGTTGCTAAATTGATGCTGCTGTTAAGAGCTATTGTTAAGATTTTATGTACATTAGTCAATAATTGTCTCTTTTTTTAACTTGAACGTACGAACTAACCTTTTTGGTAGATTCGGATATTAGCGTGGATCAATGTTTTATAATCAAGTTATCTAGTAAACTAAAGTGCAGTCACTTCGCAATTTGTGTAGTTTGTGAAGTTGTCGGCGGGCGCAGACGTAGTTAATTAGCAGTTAGGTTCCTTTGACGCCGGGTAATGTCGAGTCTTTGCGCCTTAGTGCTATTAGATAGACTGAATACGGCTGGCATGCTAATGTATATTTGCTGGCAGTACGTAGATCAAGAATATATTAAGATCATCATCTCACCCTTTTCTCAAATTTATTTAGGGTTAAGGCATTGAGTATTCTTTTTCCATTCGCCTCTATCACTCGTCAGTCCACTGCTTACTCGCTTTTTAGCCATATGCTCTGTGACGCAATAATACATTAAGATACGGCTCTCCATTAGGTTACTTACAGCACTGCAATAAAAAAACTGTTATTATTATAAAACTAAATTCAAAAAATAGCATTAAGTTTCTAATATAAAATGTTTCGTATAACATTTAACATTGCGCAGCAGCCTTTGACTAATGTACTTTGTGGAGGAACGGGTGCCATGTGCCTCGAACACAAAGGGAGGATCATGCCTAGTGGGCTGCGGTCCCACTGTTAATGAATGAGGAATTTGTATATATGCTGATCTTCAGATCACCATATAGGGTTAGAAGTTACTTCGTAGTTCGGTGTTTCTTCGTTAGATGGCGCTGTAATATGTTTCTTTTCTTTGTATGTGGAAGTCGTCACATCACTGCGCTGCAAGACCGGAGGTCGATGCCTATAAGATGAGTCAGCTGTGTATGGTCTGTTGTGGAGCGTGCCAGTGCCAGTAGTCAGTAGTTCCTGTGAGTCGGCACTGATTGCCACTAGTCCCAGTTAGTCGAGGTCGAAGTCCGCTGATCCCAGTGAGTCGGGATTGCATGCGGTGCGCGGTGCTGCGATGAAGTCTCCAGTGAGTCGGGGCGGTTGCTGTGTAGTGGTTGGCTGCTGCGCAGACGGGAGAGAGATGCTCTTCTAACGTGGACCGTCGGTGCAGTGTGCTGTGCCTAGACGCTGATGAGGCCGTAGGGGTAACCAAGCTGGAGCGGTCCCTACCTGCGTGTGGTATCCCTGTTATGGCCAAGTTTGCTGGCTGGCTGAGACCTGATTACTGCTTATCGCTGTGGGAGTGTACGTGTGCTGCTGCTGATTTGCTTCGTGAAGGCTGCTTTCAATCACGTCGGGGTCACCACTGTGCAGGAACGAGTGTCATGTCCCTCCAACACAGAGGGAGGATCCTCCGACCAGGCGAGGTGCTCAAGCCGCGGCCCCACGGTTGATGTTGGGAATTTGTATATGTGCTAATCGGCGTGAGAATTCTTCAAATCGCGATACAGGATTAGCAGTTACTCCGTAGTTCGGAGTTTCTTCGTAAGATGTCGCTGTAATATGTTTTTGTTTCTGTGTATGTGAAAGTCGCCACATACTTGACAATGAAAAGGAATTTGATTTCAATGTTTGTTTATGAAAAAATGAGAATACATGTGAAGACAGTTACAAGGTAAATACTTTTGAAATGATTTTTAATTGCGTACAAAAAGATATAGCTTACGCGCTATAAAAATTACTATCAACAATTCATAGTCACCCGACTTGAGTCAGTCATTTAGACTTTTTGGGACCAGTTGATCAAGTGTACAAATAAAAAAGCCGTGTGGTGTCGTGGGACACCCGATAGGAACGAAGTTGTGACGATCGAGTAAAACTGATTTGACACGATTTTAATTACAACGCCATCTATGAAAGCGGCTATTACCTACATATTAAAAACAATTAAAACAATTTATACATTGGTAAAATCTCCTTGCGAAATGATTTCCTATCTATTCGATAGATGGCGCTGAATGTCTGACAAGATGACACGAAAATAAAGAGCAAAAAGCCAACATCACGTGGTATTCCCAGGCGGTTACCCATCCAAGTACTAACCACGCCCGATGTTGCTTAACTTCGGTGATCGGACGAGAACCGGTGTATTCAACATGTTATGGACGTTGGCGAACGTTAAAGCAAATTTAATGTATGGTATCCACAGTTAGACGTCAATTTATATTAATAAAATAGTGTCGTTCCAAATTTTCGTACGAATTTTTTCCGTCTAGCCCCCTTTCACAACGCGCGATAAGGAACTTCGT